TCCCACTTGTCTGCACAGGTATGCAGTGACAGGGCCAAGCAAGTCAGCATCGTATCAAGCCCTGCATGTTGCCACAGAACAGAGCATGAACTATACGCTTGGCAAATCCCCATACACCGCATGTACTTTCCTCGACAACACTTGCATTGATGTATTCCGAGACTAATGCTATTAATACACCGCAGCATTCACATCTTTGCGGAATCAGACTTAGATACGACGCTGTGTCCATGTTCTCGACTACCTGAGGTCTACTTAAGGGCCTTTGCGCGCTTAAAATTGAATCCCAAATCCTTCCCATGATGGTAGAATCTACGGCCACTGAAGAGAGAAACAAGTTCCAAAGCGTCCATTCAGAATTGCGCAAATTCGCTTCGCCCTCTAGAGGCATGGCTAGATATTCAAGCCTTGCAAAAGAGAGCGCAGTGTGCACATCATCTTATGAACATTAGTCGTGGGAGCTTTGTCTAGGTTCTTGGACCGCGAGTTGAGCTGTAGACTTTGATAGATCATATGGCGCAAGAGCCTTTCATGCCAACAGTTCCTCCAAGCCCGCAGTATCTCTCCACAATCTCACTGCTGCGCCCATATATAGCCAATTCGTCCCAGATTGGCTTGAAGAACTCATTTGCCTTGATTCTCTCCACCAGATTATTTGGCTGCCCTTTCTGCTTAACAACAACACCGGCCTGGCGACTTCTCTTCTCCGCATGAAAGAATGCCTCTATGGATATATTTCTACCATTATCCGAAATGTAAGCAAAGTGGCATGGGGCTGGGAGAATAGATGTGTGTGGCTCCCAGCACTGATTGACCGCCCCGAGCCAATGGACCTTCCATGTTCCAGACGTCCCCCATTGACTTAGCGCGCCTTCCCCGCCAAATAGTACCTGCGCAGGCAGAGCTACCGAACCACCAGCGGTCCTACAGGGATGCAGGTGCCTGCAAGTTACTGGGGTCAGAGGGCATCTATTGGCGGTTCAGGCCAAGGATGACGATGGATGGATCCCAACGTTACCTCCATCCTTTTCCACCAGCCAGTGCAATCTCTCTCCACTTTCCCACCCATCCACCAACAGCCCATCGTACATACGGCGCACATACATCAATTGCAGACGTCCATACCTGCTTTCTAGCTTCCTGATCGTCCTGCGCCAACTCTTTCCCCGCGTACACTCACCCGTTGTGGGATATCACAGGCGCCAGGTCCGCCATGGCGAAGAAAGCTCGTCAACGAATTAGCTATGGTGAGACAGACTCCTACACGCCAATTGCCTGCCTGCCTACTGCCTGGCGATTATCCCGCTGATGTAGTATCTCGCGTGGCCCAGAGCATGCCCCGCATGGGACACGAGCTCCGGCTTTCCCTCGCTACATGCAAGCATTCAACATGCCCAGGAGGGGGCCTCGTGCATATTGTAACACCAGCAGTCTGTTTACTAACATGCGTGGGAAGTTCTCGAGAGCGCCAAGAGCTCGGCGGGCGGCCACCGTCTGGGTGTCAATGGCCTCGCGGTCGATCGCGACAACAACATCCTGTGAGCCCTCGGCACCACACGCAGCTCGAGCCATACCCGATACACGCTAACCGATCGCTTTAACTGTGCAGCTTCTCTGGTGGTCGAGACGGCATAGTGTGCGCTTGGGACCTCAACCTCGATCTCAACAATCCCCCGACTAAATCGACCGACGATGCCGATGCGAACAAGGAAAAGACCTCCTCCAAGCTCCGAGCGCAAACCCAGGCGCACATGGGCTGGATCAACGACATTGCCTGGGCCCAGAACGGCTCGGCCTTGGTAACGGCGTCGTCTGATCTTACTGTCAAAGTTTGGAGACCACATTCGGCTGAGACTACCGAAGCGCAACCCATAGGCGCGCATGCCGACTATGTCATGCGCCTTGCTACCCCTCCAGCCGACATGAATGCCAATTGGGTAGCATCCGGCGGCCTTGATCGCAAAATATGTCTCTGGGACTTGAACGGCAAGGGTCAAACGCTCGAGATTGATGTACAGGGAGAGGAGATTCCGGCCAAGGGTTCCGTATACTCTTTGAGTGTCGGCCGTAACATCATTGCGTGCGGTGGCCCCGAGAAAACCGTGCGCTTATATGACCCAAGATCGGGTGAGAAGGTCTCCAAGCTCGTCGGCCACCTTGACAATATCCGTGCCATTCTGATTGACGACGCCGGTGACACCATTCTGAGTGCCAGTTCTGACAAGACGATCAAGCTGTGGAGTGTGAAGAATGGCCGTTGCATTTACACATACACAATGCATGAGGATAGCGTTTGGTCTTTGTATTCTGACGATCCGCGCCTTGGTGTTTTCTACAGCGCCGATCGCTCAGGTCTTGTAGCCAAGACCGATGTACGAGGTAGCTGGGACGACATGGATGATGGGCTGAGTCTTGCGGTTATTCAGGAGCATTCATCGGTTTTCAAGGTTGTGGCCGCTGGTGGACACATTTGGACAGGCACCGAACACTCATCTATCCACCGATGGGCTGATGTTGATACAAGCGACAAGACACAGTTCTCAGATGCATTCAAACGTGATCGCGCTACCTCAGCTGCGTCCAAGAGACCACGAGAGTCCTCTATATCCTCTGCCGCTGAACCAAGCCCCAAAACGGAGACAGCACCGTCTCAGTCCATTCTCAGGATTTCAAACACAGCCTCGTTTCCCATGCGGCCAGCAGTTGGCGTTGATTCAAATGCCAATGGGGAGAATATTACAAGGAAAATGTCCGAGATCGTCATTGAACAGCCAGACTTTGAGCCGAAGCCGATTCATTCTGTGCCCACCGAAACAATTGAAGGTCAATTTGGCCTGCTTAAGCACAAGCTACTGAACGACAGAAGGAGAGTCCTTACTCTAGATACCGCAGGCGAAGTCATGATGTGGGATCTAATAAAAGTGAGTTGGTGTTGTATACAGGCGGCAGAAGGTTTGTTGACAATGTTTTGCAGTGTGTACCGATCCAGAGCTTCGGGAAGCAGCCTCTCGAAGATGTGGAAAGAGTTGTCAATACTCGTGAGGCTGTAGCGCCCTGGTGCTCCGTCGATTCAAGTTCCGGAAATCTTTCAGTAGTCCTGGAGCCATACAATTGCTTTGACGCCGAGGTATATGCCGATGAGCTAGAGCTCGAGGAGCCCGTCGAGTTCAGAGAGGACCAGAGAAGTAGGATCCGTACCACTGCCGCCTCTTTTCCGACGCTGAAGCATACTAACCATCCTTGCAGTCAGTCTCGGGAAGTGGATTCTTCGCTACCTATTCGCCAATCTTATTGATGCAGAAATCAAACAAGACGAAGAGTATAGGCGGGTACTGGATGAGGGTAATGAGACGAAACGCGTGGCTGCCCGAGCAAACGCACCAACCTCGATTGAAATACCCCGGCCCAACCTACAACTCGATACATCTGACAAAGTATCGACTCCTCGAGCCACGGGAGCGCACCTTGTACCGACGACTCCAGGGCTTGCAATAGGTCTTGCTACCCCTGCTCCGCTCACAGGCCTTCCAAACGTTCCAGAGGGTGTAGTCTCAACTCCCTTGAGCCCATTGGAAAAGCGCCAATCCCACGCAAGCCGCCAGTCGACGGACAATGACTATTTCACAAGCACGATTGGGCCTGCGGATGGAGGAGCAAAGCCCGCTGTTACTACACCAGCTGCCACGCCGGCCGCGGAGACACCCGATCCTAAGACTCCTGCAGAAGGTCCGAAAGGGAAGGATAAAGCAGTGGAGAACGGCAAAAGCACTCCATTTGGTAAGTTTCGGATGTTTGGGTCGAAGAAGCTCAACAGATCAGCCTCGCAAACGGCGCCGGAGAAACCTGCAATCGTGGATGAGAAAGCCGAAGAGTCAGAGTCTTCATCAAATCACGAAAAGGAAGTAGACGACAGCTTCTACGGCGTCATCCAGAAGATACGGAATGACTACGACAGACAAGCGACCGAGCAACCAGACAAGCCAGTCGAAACAGGCGTAACCCCCAGCCTGCCAGGCGATACTCCTGTACTCAAGCTGCCTCCCAACACCAAGGTCATCATCCAGGAGGAAACTTCTGGCGGAAGTGCCAATATTTATCAAGGCACAGTCGAAACTGTTGGGAATGATGCGGAAACTATTGAGCAGAAAGCTCCCATGTGGCTTGGGCATTTACTTCTGCAAAACCAGGTTCCATACAAGGATCCTGTGAAAGTCTCATTTGTGCTACATCCTCTGGGAGACCTGCCTGCAATTGCAACTGCGGATGGCAACAATAGACTAAATGCAAACAGGATGCTGAGAGTCAAGAAGATTCTGGCATATGTGGCTGAGCGAATTGAGAAACTTCCAGAGGAGCCGGAGCCGGATGCCCTCAAGCCTGAGGAATATTTGGAACTGTACTGCAATGACCAGGTAAGATCTCCCCCTCCGAGGTGCGAATGAGATAGTCGCGTGTCGCTAACCCTTCAAACTATAGGTGCTTGACCCGTTGATGAGCCTGGCTACTTTGCGAACACACGTATGGAAAGGCGGCAATGACATTGTGTTGCACTATAAATCAAACGGCCGCAAGGAGATTCAAATTGCGCCTCCACAACCGGAAGAGCCAGCTGAGGGAACTGAAGCAGCGGCACATGATGCACCAACAGGTACCGAGAGCGATGATGCAACCCCCAACCAACCGGCAGCCTGAGGCTGATTACCGGTCGTTGGTATCTATTTTATGAGATGGGGATAGCCCGCCTTCCCCTTTCGTGGCGTTTCTTGTCAATAATGTACATATGAACCGTAGCAGCCTCTTTCTAGCTGGCTGTATATAGCGTGGTTGTCTGTCTAAGTTTATATATTACACCTGATAAATAGTAGTAGCAATGAGCGGAAGGAATAAAAGGCGCGATTAGTACAGGGGACCGTAAAGCCATAACGGGTCGTTCCTCAACTGCTTTGGCGAAGCATGTCGTATCCTTGCTGGGAGTCTGCGCCTTCACGCAAACGGTGCTCTCATAACACAGTCGTCATGGTATTTATTACCCATTGATAACTTCCCAGGAAGATGGCGCCACCGATCGAGATCCAGGTTACTCGGGGCACCACGCCGGCGAAGAACGGCCGCACGCCCTCATTCCGCGCAATCTGCGAGAAGACCTGGGAGACCGACACACGCTGCTCGGAGAGCATGACCCGCGTCTTGAGAACGTCCAGCGGCGTCGTCAGGGCCGCCGATATACCCCCCGCGATGCTCCCGTACAGCGCGCTCTCCAGGGCCGGGACGTCTGTGAGCCCACCACCCCTACCCTCACCTGTGCCGCCGTGCTGCCGCCGCCTCCTCCCCCACGCCTTCATGGCCTCCCACAGCGGGAACTGGATCATGGTGAAGGGCACCTCGCGGAAGACGGTGATCCCCCACCCTCGGTACATCTCTCGCCAGACGGCGACCAAACCCCCGCTAGAGTGATACCGCCCCAGGATGGCAGCGAGGGCCGCCCGGCTCGAACCGCCGTGCAACCCCGCCTGCGCGCGCTGCTTGACCACCTCTGTAGGCACGCGGACGGCGCAAGCTGCAACCTCCCCCGCGGATCCCGCGAGCATGTGCACGAGGGGGCTGTCCCCGCTTAGGCTTGTGCGGCGGGCGAGGACGGACTTGACGGACTCGTAGGTGCAGAAGAAGAAGGCTGCGCCCGGCGCGGAGCCCACGACGGCGGAGCCGATGCCGCGGTAGATGCCCGAGAAGCCGCCGGAGGGGAAGAAGCCGGCCGAGGACTGGAGGCGGGTCTTTAAGGTGTCGAGGGGGAAGAGGGAGAGGTCGACTGTCGTGCCGGCGAGGCCGCCCGCGAGGAGGGCGGTTTGGAAGGAGGGTTCTGCGGAGGGCATGGCTGCGCGGGGAGGCGGGTGGGGGCGGGACTTCGCTTTCGGTTGAGGGGGGGTTATCGGGATTGGCGTGTCAATTGGGCATGGAGATTGCGATTGGGTTTTTCTTCGGAGTTTTGGCACGGAGGAGAGGTCGATCGAGCGGTTGCGAGTGGGAGGGGTTGGGCCAGAGGCCGCGATAGCTGGGAGCTCTAGTTGCACAGGTCGCGTGAGGGTATAATGAAATTTTGGGGCCGAGCTGTGGTTATGGGTTATCGATAAGCGGGTGGTCTCCGAAGGTCGGACCCCGAGCTCTCTCGGAGCTCTGTGCTATGTCCTACCCTATATGTCGCCGCGTTGACACACAAACTTGTTCATCCGACGATATTTACATGTGTTTGGTGGTTTCAATGTGTATTTACCGAGTCCATATAGCTCCTATTGTTTGTTGGTATGAAATTAATACGATTAATTGCTGTTGTGGGGATATGAGCTGTTTGATACATTTCAACTCAATTGGAAGGCAAACATCACCACACTCAACATAGCATAACTACAGCCCAATTGATAACGAACAATTATAGAAAATTACTAGGTACGTAAAATAAGATGTACAACGCAGCAGGGGTCAGCACGCCCCATTCCCACGGGGGCCTGCCTCACATGCTATCCCGCGTGCTCGTCCCCGCCTTGGCCGTCTCTTCTGCAGCCCGCTTCGTCTGTTCCTGCAGCTTCGCAGTCTCGCCGGGGCTGGACGGCGTGTGGTCGCGATCCGCGCGGATGGCCTCCTCGCTGTCCGACGCTAGCTCCGGCTTCCAGTGGCCCTTGCCCTGCTTCTGCTTGGCGAGCGAGTCGGCCTTGTGCTTGTCGTAGTCGGCGCCTGTGAAATTAAGCAGAGGTTAGCATTATTGGCTTATTCTTGTACGGCCGCCTCCAATTGATGGCGGAGGGTGTCGCGGATTGAATTGGACCTACCGTTGGCTGACTCCTTTAGACCGAGTCTGCTGCACGTCGTGAACGAAAAGTTTCGGCCCACGGCGACAGGTCCCATTACCGCGCTGCGGAGGGATTGGCTGGTGATGATTGCTCGGGCTGACATGGTGAATTGAGTGAGTTTGTCGTATTCTTAGGTACGGGCGGTTGATGTTGACGACAATTGGCCAGGGGTCAATTCAATTAATCGGTATATATTGGAGGATATAATCGGTTCAAAGAGTGAAGAGGGGAACGGTGCTCCATGAAATAAGAGGCGGGTTGCTGCTGAAGAGCCATATATCGGGCCATGTCTTCTTGACGTCACCACTGGTCATCGCCCCAGGAGGGATGGCGATGGCGATGGCTTCCACATACGTTAAGGACAATACCCAGTTTAACCTCGGCGAGATCCATTTATAAGAGACCCATTTGCAAAAGCATTGCTAAGCACGTTGACTACCCTAAGAGCACCTGGAAAGTTAGCATAATTCAATCGAGATCCCGCACAATGAAGGTTTCCCTAGTGAGGTCTCATCACAGAGCACTACTGGCCATCACACCTTATCACCTGTGCATGGCAAACTATTGAGAGACATGCAATGCAAAAGAACTCATTCAATGGAACCAAAATATGCTTGAACAAATCGTGTTATTCTCGTCTGGCAACCCTGGGTATTTCCAGAGGCCAAATACAAGCGCCTAAAAAACATCATACATGACCTGTAATTCCGCTTCCTGCAACAATGTGCAAAAACACCAGGGCAACCAAAGGCCCGCGATATTTCCCAATGCAACCGTCCCACGTCTCCCAAGATCATGTGTCATTTCCCAAAAACCGCCCACTCCGTATGCTTGTAGCAGAGAATATCTTCCCCAGACGAGACAAAACCAATCCCTCTGATAACTGCCAGAGGGGAATCCTGAAAAATGAAAAAAGTAAAAAAATAATACGCAAAGAGAATAATAAACGGAGGACAAATATGTGCTGGTGGTGGCCAATCTCCCCTGGAAGATAATACAAAGTGAGGCGAAAGACTGGCTTCCACCAGCCGCTCGCCTCATTTTGCCAAGGGGAAGGGCGCAAAACCTCTCAAAATTCGACCAACTCCAGATGATCCCAAATAAACCAGGCTCCAGCTCCCAAGTATGCGCAATCAAGACAACGCTCACCACTGCCCCAAGCTGTTTCCCAGAAATGACACAACAGGTTATCCATTGACCAACCCAATAAAAAAAGCACTCCTTCTATGTTGTGTTCTTTTTCTCTCTTTGATGATTTCATGAAGCCATGATGCAAAATAAAGAGAAGATATTTTGGTAGTTTTTTTTCCCGGTAAGCAAACGTCGCCACTCATTTCCGTGATAATAATAAGTCATGGCTGGTATTCCGAATATCCCCAGACCGCCCAGGTGACACCGACGCAAAAAAGCATCAATAACTTTATAAAAAAGTGCAAGAACCGTAATTAAAACGCCGAAGGTGGTCGTCCAGCTTCGTCTTGAAGAGCGGACACCAATTCCCAAAAGAATATGTTTTTGTAAAACGAGAACGAAAATGGTATCGATCTGTCTTGTGACGCGCCAGTTGTATCCTCGTATAAAAATCCTTTGTCGGTAAACAGGGGTATTGTCGAATTAGTTGTTGTACAGATAGGGTGTTTTCATAAAAATTGTGCAATGAGCCAACAGAAGATCCACCCGCTTCAAGCAGATGGATCGAAGAAGATTAAAATTTAAAAAAATTTCATGATGAGGAGTACCAGCCCGCCGAGAAGATCGTTGCCAGAATGCCAAGTTCAACCTTTAGGGGTTGGTGACCGCCAAGACGACAGCTGCAGACGGGTCATCTTACAGGGTCATGGATGCGGAGATTGCATCAATGACCGTGGAAGATTCGGAGAGCACACGACAGATTTACCATCGACGGCCCATGGACTGCTGCATCTTGGCGGGAGACACCGATGAAGGAGGGCTTGACATGGTGATGCCAGTGGCCGGGTTGATGATGGGAATGGCATTGCGGCCGCGGGTGGCTGCAGGCTGGTGGAGCTTCAGGCTGGGCTGGCCGTAGGTGGGGGGAGGAACAAAGGGAGGAGAGGCCGAGTTCAGCAAGAAGCCGGGAGCAACGCTCTGGGGTTGTTGCGTGGGAGAGGATTGAGGAGAGTTGCTCGCCAGCGAAGATCGCTCAGAAGAACTCGAGATGGAGACCAACTGAGGCGATGACCTGTTAGACGCCGATCTAGAGCTGCAGGGCGAACCGAAGGGACTACTCACGTCAACCTCGGTCAGGAGACCAGGGCAGAACTCCATATCGTCCTCGAGATCGAACGAGCGGCTGGTCTCGAACTTCATGCGGAAGGCTGAGAGAGCGGCGGAGTCGTTGAGCTCCTTCATGCTGCGCACACCTCGGAATTGCCTTTGGGTGTTCTGCGACATGGACAGACGAGGAGCTCGACGATTGCGGCCGTGGTTGTGAGTGGGAGCTCCGGGGTGCGCAGAGTGCGCATTGTGCATGCTATAGTACGACATGGTCTAATTGTGTGATGTGTATGCGCAATTAAACCAAAACACGGGAGTGCTTTGGCTGGTGTTGGAGTAGTTGCTTTGTGTTGAGATCGCCGTTGGTCTGCGCCGTTGTTGCTGTGCGGGATATTACAGCAAACAAACAAAAACAAAAGAAGCCGGTCTAGGAAGCGAAGCGAAGGCGAGAGAGAGCAAGAAGGATCCAAAGGAGATTCGTTGGTCTGGAAGAGTTGCAATGGTCGTTTAAGATGCTGATGCGAGAAGGAAGAGCGGTGTTGGTGGGAGGTGTTTGTATGTGTGCGAGACGAGAGAGTTGTGCGTGGGTGGGTGGGTTCAAGAGAGGTAAGTAGGAGGCGTATGTAAAGAAGCAGGAGCTGGGAAGGAAGAGGGAGGTGTCTAATGTGGACGGGCGGGAGAGGACTTGAATTCGGGGGATGACAGGCAGCGGGTTTTGTTGGTTGGGGCCCTGGGAGATGGGCACACCGCTGGCGAATGGGGTGCCGCAAACGGGGGGCCCACTTCCTTCGCCACCGCCGGGTTACTGGTCTAACTGGCTGAGCGCTAGACTGCATTCGGCCCCAGGAACGTCCTAGAGGCGCCACGGAGCAATTTTTGGGTGTGTTTACGCATACGTAGTGTGTACCTGATGGGCAGCCGCACAGTGTAAGCAGCGCATGCAAGGACAGTGCCGCACCCACGCTACAGGCTACCCTGGCCGGGGCCAAGCCAAACTGGGCCAGAACCAGCTGGCTTCGTCCAGGAGGGACAAGACAGACGGAAACAGGGCAAGACAGTCAACAAACAGCGCCATGGGTGCAGACCGTCCTGTCAGCGCCCTCTGGTCGGTCCTCCGTCCAGCGCGGAACCAGTGCTCAAATTAGAAGACCCCCTCCTAAAAATTGATCCGTCTCCGAAGGCAATGGAAGTAAGCTTCTCTTGCCCATCCGGCCCCTCACTTGCCTGCAGGTCGTCGTTCAAAATAGTAGCATCGAACCTGTTCGCTTCCGTGCGTCGTGGTTGGGCAGCGTCCTTGGGGAACCATCCGAGCAGGTCAGGCAATAAGGTGGTGGTTGGAATGAAGCGCTCCCCCTCCCTCCCACCAGCTCACTCGCCTGGCTACCCACAGAGTATGATCAGGGGAGTACAAGTGTACAAACGAGACTCGATGTTTGGCCAAGAACGGGGTCGCCCCCCATGGTGCGGCCAATCTCCTTGTCGCACATGACCCGAACGCATCTCCACCTGTACACAGCAAGTAGTTGATCATGCACCCATTGTTTGACATTCCACTCCTGCCACCAGGCGAGTCCGGGCGCTTGCCCTGCGGTGATCTCTCGTTGTTCTCCAATGTTCTGCAAAAGGCACGAACTCGCATCTGGCCAAGGGCGGTTGTTCCTTGACTTCCGCGATGGCCAGTAGCGTAGGAAATAGTCCATGGGCTGAACCGTGAAGCTGCTCGACCTCTGGCTTTGCTTTGGCCCCAGGAATCTTGCACTCTCTGCCTTCACATTCCATAAGTCACACCGGTACCGCGAAACATTTGCCCATGTCTGATTTGTTGACTTTGTTGACTCTTACTGTGGACGACCCCTGTTGTGGAGCATCGTGCAGACAGAAACAGACACTGTCCCATCTGGCGTTCAGGTGGTAGACTCCTGGGCCTTGGTAATCTCTTGGGTCATGCAATCCAATACTTGGAGCAGGTACTTGGGGAGGTACCTGTGCGCCCGCGGGTTCTGCAGCGCTCCCCCTCTACTCGACGAATCTGGAGGGTATTGGGTGGTTCACCACGCACTATGTGGTTCCCTGGCACCCATGCAGAAGGGAGAGCCACCAACAAGGCGCGTAAATTTTAGCCCGCCTCTCGCCAGTGGCTCAGTGAGTGGGCTGGGGCGAGAAGGAGGGCGGCTATCTGCTATGATTGGGCTCAGGGCTGTCCGCTGGGGCACCAGGCAAGCCCGGCCTGCATCGAGGTAGGCTGTGATCGCATTGCACTGTGGACAGGTGTGGTGTGGTGGTGTGAGCTATCATCACCCGCGAAGGTACCCAGGTCACCTGCCTGGCGGGGCTCCGCACTGCCCGCTTACAAGCATATTTCTCAAGCGGTATTTGCATCGGTATCGGGGCGGTCGTCTCCTGAGGCAGGGCTCCCCAGATTGGGAGGTGGCTCTGCCGCTGGCCGATAGTCGAGGAAATATAGTCTTTGGTGAGATGAATCAATTTGCCGCAGCGATAGTACGCGGTAAACAGGGCCATCTGGAGTGATATGTGATACCTTTGACTAACTACCCGCAGAAAGGGGTTGTGTCGTGCAGTCACTTCCCACCTTTCAGACAGATCCCTGAGGGTTAGTAGCTGCTGCCGGCACCGCACGACGGTCAGCCTTGGTGAGAGTGCAAGTCATTAATTAATGGATCAATGCATCTGGGATATACCGGAGGTATTACAGTAATTGTGCTTTGGGCTGGAGAAAAATTGTGTTTTTTTTTCTGCTGTCTCCAACGTTCCTGCCCGAAAGTGTATCGAAGCATGTAAAGATGGAGCACCTAAAAAATGAAATCGCCCGCAAAAAATGTAGCTCACCAATGACTACCGTAAACTGAGAGTCTCTTCTCAACCACATCTCGTCGATTTCTTCTAGCACAACCATGCCTGGCACAGTGGTCACCTCAATCGGCCTCACCTCCCTGCCCTTGCTCTCGGTGGGCAAGGTCCGGGAGCTCTACAAGATCGACGAGTCAACGCTGCTCTTCTCCAGCACGGACCGCATCTCGGCGTACGATGTCATCCTCAAGAACGGCGTGCCCAACAAGGGCTTCATCCTCACCCAGCTCACGGCCCATTGGATCTCCGTGCTTACCGATAAGCTGCCGTCCCTCAAGACGCACCTGCTTAGCCTCGAGCCGCCCAGCGGCCTGACCCCGGCCGACGCCGACAAGGTACGCGGCCGCAGCATGCAGGTCCGCAAGCTCAAGATCTTCCCCATCGAGGTCATCATCCGTACGTTGGCTCCCCCTCTATTTACTCGGCATTTGGACCGGCATATGCAGCTCATATGTCGTTGGCCAACCCACCGCACCAAGCTTCGTGTCGGGATAATAAGCTGACTTCGAGCCTCGCCCACTGTGCATGTAAGCCGGCTAACTCATCGTCCCAGGTGGCTACATTACTGGCTCGGCTTGGAAGGAATACCAGAAATCCGGCACGGTCCACGGCATTCCCCAGCCCGCCGGCCTGGAACAGTGCTCTGCCTTCCCTGGCGGGCCCATCTACACACCCAGCACCAAGGCTGAGCAGGGCGAGCACGACGAGAACATCTCGCCAGAGCAGGCCGCCGCCGTGCTGGGCGAGTACGCGAGCCGCATAGAGGAGCTCGCCCTGACCGTGTACAAGGCTGGCGCCGAGTACGCGCTGGAGCGGGGCATCATCATCGCCGACACCAAGTTCGAGTTTGGGTTGGACGAGGAGACGGACGAGGTCGTGCTTGTGGACGAGATCCTGACACCGGACTCGTCTCGGTTCTGGCCCGCCGACGCCTACCAGACCGGGCGCGACCAGGACAGCTTCGACAAGCAGTTTCTGAGGAACTGGCTGACCAAGGAGGGTCTCAAGGGCAAGGAGGGCGTGGCCATGCCCGCCGATATTGCTGAGACCACTGGCGCCAAGTACCAGGAGGTGTTTGAGCGCCTTACCGGTAAGAAGATAGAGGATGTTGTTAAGACATCTTAGTCTCAAACAGAAGTGACAGTAAAAAAAAGGAGTGAAGAAGAAAGGTCGATGTGACACCCTCACACGAGGATAGACCATCGTACAAGCACACTTAGATATATTTGGTTTGTTTCTACTGCCCTTTCAAAAAGGAAAAAAAATTACATTGAGCGATCACTAATCCGTACTCGAGGCACTCTTGTGTGATATTTCCATGATTTGTGTTGCATGTTGTACGTCTAATATCAAATTCTATGTAGCGCTGTCTACCGTCTCGTCTGTCAACCACGACTCCTTGTGGTCGTAGTCCCGAAGCCCATTATGGCCTTACCCCAAGCCACTCTCTCCGCACTGGTCCCCCAAAAATGAAATTCTCTATTATCTGTTTCCTTTAGAATGTCACCAGGAATGCCATTTCACTGATGGAAATCCTCAAACCCGCGCCTCTTCCGGCATCGAGTGAGACTCGACCTTAACCAGTCTTGACTGTCTCATACTGGCTCTTGGCCCGGATCCGAGCCCCGAACTTGAAGAGGACCCAGGGCACAGGGAGGAGGGCGAGGGCGATGAAACCCAGCAGGCTTGTCGCCCAGCTGATGCCGAGTCGCTGGTACACTGTCAAAGGGAGACCCTCGGTTAGCACGCCATGTCTCACATATTTCGGAAATCAGGGACTTTGTGACAAAGGCCAAGCGGGAAAACGTACTCTGGATCGTGAAGAGTGGGAACACCCCGGCGAACCCATACCTCGCCAGCGTGTTGGCGCTCGCGGCGCTGGCGACGACGCTCCCGTGGTAGGTGTCGGATGTGTACTGGATGGTGCTGACGAAGACGCACAGGTTCCCCCACGCGAAGGGGATGATGGCCGCGGCCGGGCTGGCCCACGATACGCCCTCGCGGGCGGTCCAGGCGAACCAGAACAGGCCGAGGGGCAGGCCGACGCTGCCGATCATGGCCGGGTACAGGCGGTGCTCCGGCGGCACCTGGTGCGGCGGGTACTTGGAGGACTGCTTCCTGTAGATGAGGGCGTCGCAGAGGATGACGGTGACGAGGCCGAGGACGCAGCCGATGACGATGGAGAGGAACACGAGGCCGGACTGCTCGAGGGAGAAGTGGTAGACGCGCCCGAAGGTGTAGGGGACGGCGGCGAAGAAGCTGAAGAGGGTGCCGAACTCGGCGGAGACGTAGAGGGCGATGAAGCCGACGATGGGCTCGAGGAGGAGCATACGGACGGGGCGGATGAGGGCGATGAGGACGAACATCTTGAGGCGGTCACCCAGGGCTGGGGATTTGGGGAC